AAGATGGGGTCTGATACTGCAGTTTCTGTGGGTTCTGACTAGAAGAAATAATATCTTTCATTTTAGTATCATTACACATTAGATTGAGAATAATAGAGCTGTCTCTTTATTGTATCTTTGGGATTTAGAGATCCAATGTCTTCCCACTACAAATTTCTAGTGGGAAAAAGTCTGTTCCTATTTTATTGTGACAGGCCCACCTTTGTAGCTGATTCCAGTTGTGCTTGGTAGTGGTTGTAGGTAGCAAATTTGGGACATAAACCTAAAACTGGGCATTTATGTGGCATGCATTTGTAATTCCAGCACCCAGGAGGCACAGGCAAGAGAATCAGGAACTCATATTCTCAGGGATGATATTAGCTAGTGGGTAAAAGATAAGCTTCATCACTTACCTAATAACATACTGGTTAGTTAGCCCCGTGGCCTTTAAAAGTCCTAGAACCAGGAGGTAACTCTAGACCATCTCATAAATGTTAAATCTAAATTACCATTTGACCTTTTAGCATTATAGCAAAATAAAGTCAACACACAGTAGACACACTCATGTTTTATTTCTCTAACAACTATAACCATGACCAGAATATTTCATGCCACAGTTTGGGAGCACAAAATTTAAATGACTATGATTAAGACTTACAGAGTTTTGAAAAACATCATTTAACTAGACCTTGAAATGGTCACTCTCATACCCTAATCTTAATAATATACATGCAAATGATTTACAAATTAAACTGGCACAAAGATTATTAATTATACATTTCTAACAAAACATAAACCTAAAACTGGGCATTTATGTGGCATGCATTTGTAATTCCAGCACCCAGGAGGCACAGGCAAGAGAATCAGGAACTCATAGTCATCACCACCTACATACTGAATTTGAGCTAGCCTGAACTATAACACCCTGTCTCAAAGAAAAAGAAAATATCAAAAAGTGAGGGTATTGGGAGAGGGTTCAACAGGTAAAGTGCTTGTTGCACAGCATACTGAGTTAACTCCCTAACACCCTTGTAAAAGTCAAGCATGGTGGTGTGGTGTGTGCCCATGACCCCAATACTGGGGAAATGGGAGACAGATGGATCTCTAGAGCTTGCTTTAGGATCAGTGAGAAATCCTGTCTTAATAATAATAACAATAATAACTGCTGCAAACCACAGGAAAATGTAATATAATCCAGCTACTATCACAAAAACTAGTACTTGGAAAGGTCAAGGACTTTCTTTTTTTTTTTTTTTTAAAGATTTATTTTATCATGGATACAGTGTTATGTCTGCATTTATCACTGGAGGCCAGAAGAGAGCACCAGATCTCGTTATAGATGGTTGTGAGCCACCATGTGGTTGCTGGGAACTGAACTCAGGACCTCTGGAAGAGCAGCCAGTGTTTTTAACCTCTGAGCCATCTCTCTAGCCCAGTCAAGGACTTTCTTGAAGGTCAAACCATGGCTTAAGAAGTCTTGGTGATGATTTGCTTTTGGGATACCATCTTACAAGGACTCCAATTTGCAGTAAGGCTTGTTAAGGAAGAGAATGGCTCAGTTGCCTTTAGCCTACTGGCTATGGATGGGACAGGACCTCTGTTGGTCTTTTCTGTGTTGAACACACAGATTGAAAGCCCAGTGCCACTTTGAGATATTTGGCAGCAGTTAACTCTGAAACTCACACATGATTGAGCCTGTATGATAATGAGTATTCAGAGTCGGGTAATGCCTGGGGGGCGCTCACCAACCTAGAGTGCCTGTGTGGCCTGAGCAGGTGTCTCCGTGACGGGTAAGGTGACCTGTGACCTGCTGACGTCCCACGCAACCTAAGTCAGAAGCTCATTTTTTAGTAAAAGGGGGACCTGTAGGGACCTGGCCCCTGTTTTGGGTAACTGTTGCCTTGCTTGCTGACCTTGACCTTGATATCCTCCCTATGCTAATTCCCTGCCGGGTTCCACCCTCCTGAATGCTTAAGGGAAGTTCCTTGTCTGTGTATCCTGCATAATGGGCTTTAACAGCTTAGATGCAAGATTGTGGGGTTCTCCCATTGTGCTGTAAGCCTGTGTTTAAGATCTCTTCCCTCCTTCAATAAACAGCATTCGGCATTAAAAAAAAAAATCATAAAATACATATCTGGTTGGACCTGGAAAAAAAAAAAAGTCTTGGTGATATTTTAGCTTTTGTATATATATTAGCCAATTCCTGCAATGATTTTCTTGTATGCTATGTGTGCTTCCAAGAACTCATAAACGTGTATTCTATCTGAAATACTTATCAAGCATCCAAGGCCAAACGATCTCCTTAATTAAGGTAAATTAAGCTCAGACCCTCCTTTCTTATACAGCCTTAGTAGTATTTATACTAACATTATAGACTCCTAACATTTAACTAACCACCTCTAGGAATGTAGTTTGTGCACATAAATTCCCTTTTTCTGATATATTAACCAATTTTAGCTCTTAGTTGACCTCCTCCTTCACCACTCTCCTTTTGGGTTATAAAAGAAAGCCTGATGGTCAGTGCCTGAGGAAAACTCTTGTCTGCCTCTATGACCCCTGTAAGAATTCAAGCCTGGTCACCTTGCTTTAGCTAGAGCACAGCTATTGCATGGGTATATAATTGTAAACCTCAGAGCCTTAGAGAGGATTTTGACTGGAGAACTAGAATGAAATGGAAGATGAGGAAAAGTCAGATGGCTAAGAACGAGATGAGAAAGACCAACATGAAACAGAACTAAGATGAGAGAATTAAGATAGAACTTAGAGGGAACAGCAGATAAATGTAGAGAGAAATAAGGCAAGAAAGGAGCTAGGCATGAGAAAAGAACTAAAGCTGTGTAGACAGGATTTTATCCCAGAGGAATAAAGTAGACAGAGAAAAGAGCTTGATGTACTTAGATTCTTTTCCCGCTGAATACCCCACCATTAGTAGTGTCTCTTCTGGGCCCCTGGGAAGGAAACTAAAGAGGCTGGACCTCAAAAGTTTGTGGGAAAAAAAAGTAATGATGATGATGATAATGTGAGTAGCAAATAGAGAAAAACACCCAACTAGCATCCAAGTTCATGCACAGCCATAAGTGTAAGTGTGTGGGTGCAAGTTCACACCTGTACAAACATATGCATACATATACACAGGATGAAGGGAGGGGAGGGAGGAAGGAAGGAAGGAGGGAGCGAGGGAGGAAAGGGAAAGGACAGGAAGGAGGGAGAAAAATGAAGAGGAAGGAAGGAGGGAGAGAATGGGAGGGAAGGAGAAAGGGAAGAGAGGAGAGGGAGGGAAGAGGAAAAGAAGGAGAAAGGAGGAAAGGAGGGAGGGGAAGAGAGAAAGGGAGGGAAAAGAGGTAGGGAGAGGAGGAGGGAAGGAGAGGGAGGAGAGGAAACAAGCTGGCCTCCCTCTGTGATACTTGACCTTGACTGTGATAGTTGACCTTCACTGCCAACTTGAAGGATTTAGAATCACTTAAGTGACAAACCTCTGGCCATGTCTAAGAGGACATTTCCTGAAGGCTTTAACTGAAAGAGTAAACTAACCCTTAATGTGGGCAACACCATCCCATGGGCTGGTGGCCCAAACTCAATAAATGCACAAAGAGCACTGAGCACCAGCATTCATGTCTCATCTCCTTCCTGAATGCAGACATAAATATGACTGCCTCACATTCCTGCCGCAAAACTAGATCTGCCCCAGCAACCATATCTCTTCTACCCTAAAACTGAGCAAAAATAAACACATCCCTCAGTTAGTTTCTTTTGTTACAGCAATGAGAAAAGTAAGTAATGTAACTTCTTTGAATAAATTATTAAAACTAATACTTTAAATGTTTTTGCTTGGTATACTGGCATATGGCTTTAGTCCGAGCACCCAGGAGGCATAGGAAAGTGGATCTCTGTGAGTTCAAGGCCAGCCATTTACATAGACCTTGTCTCAGAAAAAGGGAAGGAGGGAGGAAGGGGGAAAGGGGGGGAGGGAGGGAAGGAAGGAGGGAGGGAGGGGTAAGTGGAAGTTTTTGTCCTGCCCCATCCTGCAGCCACTTCCACATAATCACTCAGAGGCTTATATTAATTGTAAATGTTCTGCTGGTAGCTCAGACTTATTACTAACTAGCTCTTACACTTAAATTAATCCATAATTCTTATCTACCTTTAGCCATATGCCTTGGTACCTTTTCTCAGTATGACATTCTCTTCTTGTTTCCTCTGCATCTGGCTAGTGACCCTCTGACTCCACCCTTCTTACCTCCTTAGTTTGGTTTTTTCCGCCTAACCTTATCCTGCCTGTCTATTGGCCAAACAGCTTATTAAACCAATTACAGCGACAAATCTTCACAGTGTACAGAAGGATCGACCCACAGCGGGAAGGGAGGGTAGGTGGGTAGTTTTTAATATATAGTTGCTTATATACAAAAATCCAACACTGTTTGCTGTTGGTTTCAGTGGAAGATGGAGAACTGAGCAAGGGGGTCTATTTTAAACAAAATTTTCAGCAAACAACTTTCTATTAAATGGATAGCTCTGGCCACCAAACAGTACTAGCAAATGAAAAAGAAAATGTCACAAGACAGAGTATCATTCTTATAATTGTTAAGAGGAGATACAATCTGAGGGCCATTCAAATAAGAACATCAAAGATACCTTGAGTTGAGCACTGGCTGATCTTCCAGAGGTTGAGATCAATTCCCAGCACCCACATGGTGGATCACAACCATCTCTAGTGGGATCTGATGCCCTCTTCTGGCATAAAGTTGTACATGCAGATAGCACACTCATATACATACATACATACAAACATACATACATACATACATACATACATAAATTTTTGAAGAAAGAAAAGTCTAGAAGTCAGCTGAAGAACACCCAAGATTGATCTCTGGCCTCTGCATGTGTACCCCCAAACATGCACACACAATAAACAAGTAAAATGAAAAAAAAAAAAAAAAGATACCTTGAGTTAAATACTTGTAAGTGCACAGTCACACCCTTTTCTTACCAACAAACACTGGGTAACATTTAGAACTTACTAGTGCCTGGATCAAGTTCTGCCAATTCATCCTGACAGAAACCTAGAGAGAAAATAATAGGGAAAACATTATTATTTTTTAATTACTCCAAGCTGACTCTAAATATTAAAAATCAACTATCATAATATGGGAGGATTTAGACTTCAGGCTAGGGTATGTGACTCAGTTCTTGCCTAGAATGAGCAAAATACTGGGTTCAATTTCCAGTAACACTCCCACATCCAAAATTAGATTCAAAAATTAGTTTGGGTTTAAATCCTAGTTCATACAATTACCTATCGTACAGACCCCCTCTCTGGGATTCCATTTCATCACCTTAATATAGAAATGGAGATAAGAGCATGTACCAGAGTTGTAACAGGAGTAAGAGTTTAGCACATTCCATAGCACACAGTAGGGGCTCAATAAACAACAGCACAGTATAAGAATGCCAAAAGCCTGGTGGTGGCGCAGGCCTTTAATCCCAGCACTCTGGGGAGGCAAAGGCAGGTGGATCTCTGTGAGTTCCAGGCCAGCCTGGTCTACAAAGCAAGTTCCAGGACAGGTACCAAAGCTAAACAGAGAAACCCTGTCTCTAAAAAACAAAAACAAAAAAAATCCATTTAATACTTTTTTTTTAATGGTATCAATTATGTCCCAAAAGAAAATAAAATAAACAAAACAGGAATTTACAACAAATATACAGGGTGAATTTACTGAAGATTATCACAGATTAAGCTGGGGATATAGCTCAGTTGTTAGAATGCTTGCTTGGCATACATGATGTTCTCCATTTGATTTGTGGCAATGTATAAACTGGGAACACTGGTACAAGCCTACAATCCCAGCACTCAATAGGTAGACACAGGAGACTCAAATGTTCAAGGTTATCCTTGACAATATAGCAAGTACAAGGTCAACCTGGGATACATGAGACCCAGTCTCCAAACAAAACAAAACCTTCAAAAGTCTTTACCTACACGCGCGCACACACACACACACACACACACACACACACACACACACGAAACCAATTCTTCCAGTATTAAGTATGCTTAAGCTATGCTTGCTCATAAGACAGTATGCTTAGCAAGCACAAAACCCTGGATTCAATCCCCAGAGCAAACAAAATAAGTGATGGAATAAACATCACAAAGGACATTTCATACCCATAAAACATGTGCTGTGTTTGTCTGCTTGTTGTGTGCACCCTGTAGAGAAAAATTAAATGTATTGTCAAACACAGTAAGTTCTCTGTACACACTTGATGAAAGTTATTTTTTCCTACAGTTGACTACCTTTCTCCTTATTAGCTTCTACTCATCCTAAAGAAAAAACTATATGTATAGATATGTATCTCACCTTGGGGGTAGGATTTCAACATAACATTGGAGGAAAACCAACATTCAGACCATAGCAGTAGCAATAAAGAAATAGCCATTTATTTCTTTTTTCTTTCTTTCTTTCTTTCTTTCTTTCTTTCTTTCTTTCTTTCTTTCTTTCTTTCTTTCTTCCTTTCCTTCTCTTCTCTTCTCTCTCTCTCCTCTCTCTCTCTCTCTCTCTCTCTCTCTCTCTCTTTCTTGAAGTTTCCCTGGCTGTCTTGGAGCTCACAAAGATCCACCTGCCTCTGCAGCAATTAAAGGTATGCACCACTACTACCCGGCCAGAAATAACTATTTCTATATACAGGTTGAATATTAAACATACCAGAAGACTATGCATAGACATTTGCTTAATCTATACTGCCCTGAAAATAGAATGAAAGTGCAGAAAGACAGAGAGGTATAATGAAAAAGCCATTTTAGTTGTATGACCTGGCAAGGCAAGCTATCCCAAGTCAAGGCTTCAGATTTTTCATTAGGTAAAAGACTGCATCACGGGTATCAAGAAAGGATAAAGCTTAATACATCCTCTAAAAGTAACTAACATTCTGAATTCCACAAAGACAGAATGACCCCAAAACTGCAAATACTAAGAAAAATGGATTAAAGCAGTAGTTCTCAACCTGCAACCATTTAGTACAGTTCATGTTGTGGCGACCTGTTGTGAGATAACTGATTACACTGTGTAAAGTATGTCACTGTGATTGGTTTACTAAAAAGCTAAACAGACAATAGCTAGGAAGGTACAGGCGGGATTTCCTGACAGAAAGTTCTGGGAAGAAAAAACGGGGAGTCGGGCTGGAGAGATGGCTCAGAGGTTAAGAGCACTGGCTGCTCTTGCAAAGGTCCTGAGTTCAATTCCCAGCACCCACATGGTGGCTCACAACCATCTATAACGAGACCTGGTGCCCTCTTCTGGCCTGCAGGCATACATGCAGACAGAATACTGTATACATAACAAATAAATAAATCTTAAAAGAAAAAAAATGCAGATAATCTCTTTATAAAAAAAAAAAAAAATGAGAGTCTCCAGTCAGATACCAAGGAAGCAGGACATGCAGGAGACGTAAAAGACACGAGCCACATGGCAGCAGGTAGATAAACAGAAATAGGTTAATTTAAGTTATAATTGCTAGTTAGAAACAAGCCTAAGACTGATTAATTTTTTTCATTAATTAACTTTCATAATTAATAAGAACTCTCTGTGTAATTATTTGAGAGCTGGCTGGTGGGGACAGAGAAAGACTCTACAGTCACCCCCAACTATAATGTCATTTTTGTTGCTACTTCATAACTACAATTTTGCTACTATTTTTTGTTTGTTTCTTTGTTTTGTTTTTTTGAGACAGGGTTTCTCTTTGTAACAGCCCTAGCTGTCCTGGAACTTGCTCTTCAGACCAGGCTGGCCTTGAACTCACAGAGAGTACTGAAATTAAAGACCTGTACCACCATGCCCAGCCAACTGTTATGAATCTTAAGGTAAATATTTTTGAAGATAGAGGTTTGTCAAAAGGGTCGTGACCCACAGGTTGAAGACCACTGGTTTAAAGGGAATTCTGTTCCCTTTACTTGTCTAGTAACCATTCCCTCATTCTGTTAACAACTTGCTTTTCTTTGGAGACATCTCTCTTTGACTCCACACCCATAGGATACAAGATTTAACTCTAACCTTGCTATAAGATGGCATAAACTATCTGTGGCGGTTTGAACTAGAATAATCCCCACAGATCATATATTTGAATAATTGGTTCCCAGTTGAACTGTTTGGGAAGCATTAGGAGGTATGTCACTAAGGGTGGGCTTTGAGGTTTCCAAAGCCCAAGCCATTCCCAGTGAGCTCTCTGCCTCCAACCTGAATCAGAATGTAAACTCTTAACTAGAGCTCCAGGGCCATAACTGCCTGGCTGTTACTGCTGTGCTCCTTGACAAGATGATCATGGATCCTAACCCTATGGAACTATGAGCCCCAATAAATGTTTACTTTTATAAGATGTCTTGGTCACAGTGTCTCTTCACAGCAACAGAAAATAAGATAGTATCTTATAGGGCTGTTGAAAGGATTAAACTAGATTGTGCATAGAAAGACTTTACAGAGTATCTCAAAAGGGCAACAATGTGAGCTGGAATGGATCCAATTCAGTGCTGAGACTTTGGGGGAAGAGAATAGTTCTAGAAGGGTAACTACTAAATGTGACCTGGGATGGAACTCTAACATCACTGATGTAACTTTTTTTTTTTTTTTTGAGGGAGGAAAGAACCTTTCGACTCTCATGAGTTAAGATGGAGGGAAAGGAGGGGGAAAGGAAGAGGGAGAGTGGGGTGGTCCAGGATTTCCTGGTGACATAGAGCCCTCCTTCGCCCAGCTTGATCTCCTTGCTCTTTCTGCCTTGCCCAGTCTCCCAGCCACCAGCTGGAATGTCAGGCAGCTGATGGTAAGGACAAGCAGGCAGGGCCATCTGCAGGGTAGTAGACCAGGCAGGAGGCTGGCAGCAGAAGGAACAGGATGACATCCTTTGTGAAGCAGCTGAGGATGGTCCCTGCTGAAGCTCTTCAGTTATAGCCAGAGTCCTCCCAAAGTCTGGCACTGTGCCTGACTGCTGCCATGAGTCTCCAGGAGGTCCAACAGCAGGGACTTCTAGGTCCCATAGGGAACCACAATGTCTTTCACCTGGCCAGAAACAGCAGGAAGGCAGGGAGCTGCTGAGGAGTAGGAGGTTCTCTGTTGGGTTCATAGAAAGGGGATGCTGCAGATACTCGAGACACTCTTACTGCAGGGTTTCAACAAAGGCATCAAATTCTCAGACATTCTTCTCATGCACAGCCAGTTTCTCTGGTAAGGATTCCAAGTCTTCCGCCATAGACTAGGCTCCAATATCTATGGAGAGGCTGCTCAGCTGAGGGGGATTCTGAAATTCACAGTAAAAGGTCCCCAAGTTCATCGGAAGAATGTCATCTTTAGAAAATGCAGGTTTTGTAGGGCCCTGGCCCTCGTTTTGGGTAACTGATGCCTTGCTTGCTGACCTTGACCCTGATATCCTCCCTATGCTAATTCCCTGCCGGGTTCTACCCTCCTGAATGCTTAAGGGAAGTTCCTTGTCTGTGTATCCCGCATAATGGGCTTTAACAGCTTAGATGCAAGATTGTACAACATCTGTAGCAAACTTCTGCCCTCCAGGGTTCTCCCATTGTGCTGTAAGCCTGTATTCAAGACCTCCTCCCTCCTTCAATAAACGGCATTCGGCATTAAAAAAAAAAAATTACCAAACAAGTAATCTCACCTTTAAAAAATAAAATAAATTAAGAAAAAAAAAGAAAAGAAAAAGCAGGTTTAAAGTCAATCATAACAAAGTCATCATGTGTATTGCCACTGCTGCCCCCACTGGAGCCATCTGAGTGAGGATTTCTCTGTGTAGCTTTGCACCTTTCCTGGAACTCACTCTGTAGACCAGGCTGGCCTCGAACTCACAGAGATCTGCCTGGCTCTGCCTCCCGAGTGCAGGGATTAAAGGCGTGCGCCACCACTGCCTGGCTTGATGTAACTTTTAATTACTTGCTCTCCTTTGTGTTGTTTGGTTTTGTTTGGAGACAGGGTGTGGGGTTTTTTTTGAGACAAGGTGGCCTCAAACATGCTATGTAGCCAAGAATGACATTCAGCCGATCATCCTGTCTGCAACTCCTGAA